CCTCATGTTCGCCGCCGCCATGTTCCTGGCACCCTTTGCGCAGAGCTTCCACTTCGCAACCTTCCTCGTAGCCTTCTGCGGCTTATCGTGGACGATCGCCATGTGGGCGCCAACGACCTTCCTCGGCGTAGAGGTCAACAAGCTCAGTGGTGCCCGCGAAGGAGGGAGCGGGTCAGCAGCCTACCGCCGCCTCTCAAACGACTCCAACATTGAGCTGCCCACGCTCGGCCAGGACCAGCCGCTCCATCTGGAACACGGGCCGGACGAGGGTGGCCAGCAGACGACGTCGTCTACGGGCGAGCTGTCGGGCATCTACTTTGGCATACTCAACATCTACACGACCCTGCCACAGTTTATCGGAACCTTTATAAGCACCATTGTCTTCACCATTCTAGAGCCGGGCAAAAGCCCCGAACTGTCGGACGCACCCGAACACGAGCAGCATAACACCGACGGTCCCAACGCCATTGCAGTATGCCTCTTCATCGGTGCCATTTGTGCAGTAGTGGCCGCGTTTGCCACGCGAAAGCTCAAGTATCTCTGAATTCCAATGTACGAGTAGGAAAAGAGGAAACAGCACGGATTTCATCATTGTAGGGGCAAAGGCAGCGCAGGGGATATGGGATGGCGTTACGGAAAGGGGTAGAGAGTAAGCTCTCTTGCATTAGATCATGTGTGGGATAAAGCGCATAGGGCTTTTGGCTTCATTTAAGTGATCTCGAAGAAATGGCACATCTCGAGGCTGCGGGTTTTCCCTAGATGTCAGGGATCTATGTCTCAGCATGGCCTTCGATGAATACACTCAGTATCACGGATGAATGAGGCTAATACCAGTAGTGCCAATCGCTGTCTTCGTAAGTATGTGTACGCGGAGCTGCCCACGATGGAGCATGCTGCCAAAGCCCTATGTACAAGTCCGGTTCGGACAGTGGTAGTGCATGTGTCGACGCTTGCTCAAGGGTATCTCAAATCTTTCGTCGCGCGGATGCGTCCCGAACATCTGTCTCTCCATACAATTCCCCGTTCCCCCCTCGTTCTCCTCCTCCTCCATGGTGGTAAAATATTCGAGTGGTGTGCATCGCTCGACGAGTGGTGTTGGTTAAGCGTACCCTCGTCGTCATGTGTGTTCCGTACGTCGTCGTCGCGCCCCGACGCTCATTCACTTGTCCTTCTCGTTCTCGTTCTCGGAAACCTTTTCCCACTCATCCTCGGTGCTCACACTCGACTGCGTGCCCCCGTTAGTGGCATCTTCAGCTCCGGACTCGACAGTGGCGGAAACGGCGGTGCGACGCTTCAAGTCGGCCGCTTGCTGCTGCTCCGCGGCTGTCTCGACCTGGCTGCTACCGCCCACGACGCCCTTTCTCCCGCGAGCGCCACCCCTTGCGCCGCCGACAACTGCGCCGCCCTCAACTTCCGTGTCGCTATCATCCGTTCCTTGAGTATTGGCCCCTGCCGCGCCGCCTCCTACTGCTCCGCCAGCGGATGTATCGGTACCACGCGCATTCTTGGCCTCTTTCTCTGCGTGTTCGGCCAGCTCGACGACGAACCAGTTAATAGCGTACCAGAGGCCCGCGCTGAGGAAGGAGAGGATGACGAAGTGGATGCTCCAGGTGGCGAGGAGGAGGACGCCGAGGAGGAGCTGGAGGGCGGCAAAGGTTGCGTTGGTTGCGCGGAGGAGAGTCGGTGTTGGGCCTGGGGTGAAGATTGACTCCCAGAGGTTGGTGACGAAGGCCGCCATGATCGATATGGGAGGAGGGGCTTCGGTGTCTTTGTTAATGTATGGCGTTTGCGGATGCACAGGTTCGCCGTCGGCCGATCAAATGTAGTTCTCGTATCGTTCGATCGTTGTGTTCGATTTCGCGGAGGTGGTGCGCGGCTTGACAAAGTGAATACTAGCCGCTGTATTGTTTGCAGTGTTTGTACGGAGTAGTGGTTGGGTGTGATGTTTCTCTGTGGAGTATTTCGCTGGTGGATAGGGAGCTTCGGAGGAGTGGATTCCGGCTTGTTCTAGCTTATGAGAGCTGCTTCGGAAAGGTGACCAGGGTAGGATGTTCTGTTTCTTTTCAAAACGTAAGACGACGCTCACGGCGACTTTTTATCTGGCGATGATGCTGTTGTTTCGTTTGGATTTGCAGTTAGACGGCAGAGTCAAGGCGGTAAGAGCGCATAATAAATAGCGTTTCTGGGATGAGCAACAATTGGGTTGAGGGAGGGGGCAGGAAAGAGAGGGGTCCCTTCCGGTTGCTTAGGAAGGTCAGGGAAGGTGGAAGGTTACCTTATAGGTGAGGTAAGGTAGGTAAGGGCAGGTACCATTTGACAACACGCGCGGGTTGTGGCGGGGGTTGGGAGAAGGAGGGGAGAGGGGGGGAAGGGTCGAGATAATGTACCTTTTCTTTTTTGACCAACAGCAAGCCAGAGGAGACACGGTATTATCTCTATCTTCCTTTTATACGGTATCTCTCTCTCTCGGAGGGTGGATGCAACGTGGTCACTCGGTGTTTATAGAATCAGAACAGGTGGCACAATAGAGAGCAAGAGGTGACGGTGGCCTCGCGATAGTTGACTCCAACGTGTTGGGATGTTTATGGGGCTGGTTGTGGTTGTCAAGAGAAAGGGTCATAGGGTTGCCTATCAGGCAGACAGACAGGCAGGTTCCGTCTCTCTAGGTGGTCACGGATTGCCCAAGTCAAAGACGACGACAAATACCGTCAAGCAACACGGAGGGACCGGTCACAGCACGCGGCCCTTCGGAACACGCTTCTTTGGCTGTTTCTGCGTAGCAGGAATGGAGCGACGAGAGGCCGGAATGACCCCTCCATGGCTCGGGAAACGTCACCGTCGCGTTCTTTTTTCCTGGGGTCGTGGGGTCGTGACCTTTCTAACGCAAAGCTTCCACTGAGCCGAGGCGAGGCGAAGGGGACCTGCTGACCTGCTCGTTGGGGTCCGTCGAAGACGAGTTGCGGGGTGAAGCGTACAGAGTATCCGTTCTGATCCTTACTGCAGTGGTGGTTTGCCTTATATTGACCGCATCCTGTCAAAATATAAGAAGTCAATTCCTTCATTTGGTCCATCGCTGTTGCTTGCTATGCTTGCTTTCTGTAGGCTGCCCGTTGTGTTCCATCTTCCATGCTCAAAGCACCTCAGTAAGGTATGTGGTGGGGTCCAGTCACGTCGTCGGCGATAACAGTTGCCGGATTTCGGTTTCACTCTGAGCCATGCACGAAGAGCAATGGGCGGAATCCCCGTCAATGCGGCCGGCCACCAAGAAGATAGCACAGTTCCTGACTGCGTACTTAGCACTATCTTGGAAACAGCATTCCAGACTACCTGTATTCCCCTTGGGTGTCAACTGAAGATAGAGAGTACGTAGATTATGCAGAAAAAAGCTTGAATCCTTATTGTCAGTGCCGCCAGGATCAAGCAGGAGCTGCATGTAGCAGCGTGCTGAAGCCGTTGAAACCCCGGAATCCAGACGTCATAGCATAGCTTGAAGGCAAATTAACGGTAAGCTTAAGTATACAAGCTGATCTGAATTGGGCTGGGTCAAGTTAAGTCTCTTCATTTGAAAGAACTGAGAGTAACGCTATTCCATGCTTGAATCATCGGCCACGGTACACACATCTGTTTCTATGCATTACCCCATGGAAACGACGGGGGACAGAATATGGATTCATGGTCCGACGGCAGGAGAAGGGGCTAGGAGGTGTTTGCCGTACTTGCATACGGATATGTGTTCATATGAGTGTCTTCCTCCACCGCCGTCGGAGAATTTGAGCTTGCATTTAATCTATCTCATTCGCATGGCAGGCCTGTCTGTGTGAGATATTGGCCGTCTCAAAGAAAGGAGTGTTAGCCTATTACACAGTACTCCGTAGGTTGCGACTGACTAAGAGAACAGGTCCAACAAGTGAAATGCCCTTGCCGCCAACGTAAGGAACCACACGTTGCAAGATGATCCTGGGGTTCCGCCCCCAAATCTGGAACTGAAGGTGCGGGACCGAATACTTATGGGACCCGACAAATATACCCCTACCTGGTTTCCGCCTTCTTCTAAATCCATACTGCCGCCGCCGGGTCGCTCTGATTTTGAGGTACCTACTCCGTACCTTACCTTACCTTATCCAACTGACTGCCCTCACTCAGGTGCAACACCTTCTTCCTTGTATCCATCTGCTTCCTGGCGATTTCCATCACCCAGAACAAGCAGGAAGGAGAACTCTTGAAAGGCAAGTTGCCTGAACCCTGCCTGTTGTTTCCCTTGACCAATCAGATTGGGAAAACAATTCCCTTCTAGTCGGGAGTTTTACCCCATTTCCCACAGAGGAAAGAGCAACAGTTGAAAAAAGGTACCTTCCTTACGTACACCACGCACGATATATCCGGGGAACGTGTGACCGGACCACCCACCTTAGCGCGGAGCACATTGGGAAAGACCTTGGTCAACCCAAGCTGGTCCACCCACGTCCACCACCGGATCGACGACTGACGACTGCACCGGCAACCAACGCACCACCACCACCACCTCGACCTCCGCCGCCACTACCACAATTACCGCCGTCGCCGTCGCCGCTTCCTCCTCACCACAGAGCCGCAACGAACGAAATTTCATGACACCCCATGTCCGTCATTTCTGACATGACATGATTGGTCTCGCGAGACCTCTGCTGTCGCCAGCCTTTCTTTGATTCCCTCAACAAAGCATTCCCAATCATCTTCTTCCAGCCCGATATTTTCTTTAATCCATTCTACCATCCTGTTCTCTGGCCCACCCGCGGGTTTACAAAAAAAGAACAAGCCCAAAACGCGCCTTCCGCATCCGAGCCAAGATACCCACGATCGCTTCCTCTGACGACTCACTCCTCACCCCGACACTACCTTACATCATATTACGCGATTGGCAACCGAAAGAAGCCACGCCATTATAGCAGTAGCAGCCTACAATAACAATCGACAACCGCTGCCATCGCAATCCGAAGCATGCGCTGAGGCCCCTCGCGATCATGGCCCCAGCCCTGCAGACCAGCGATCCAATGACCCATCAAGCCGCCGAGCCGCATCCGAACGAGGTCGAACTTCCCTACCACAACGACGTCCCCGGCCACCCCGCATCTGTTGACTACGATGGCGTCCCCGATGCTTCGGTAGACCCCGCCGTCGTCATGCGCAAACTGATGAAGGGCAAGGACAAAGAATGGGATGCTGTCGCGCCCAGCAAGTCAGGCAAGAAGCTGACCCTTCTCGAGTTACCAGTGGACATCTTGCGCTTGATCATTAAGGAGGCAAGTTGACACGCTATCAACACCTCGGTCTCTCTCCCAGTACTGACATTTGACATTTTTTAGATCACGCACACAAATGACCTTACCTCGCTCGCCTTGACCAACTCGAACCTTCACAATCTCGCGATCCCCCACATCTACTCGAGATTCGATATCGTCTGGCCCGATGCCACCCAGATGGCTACGTCCGACTCGAAGAGTGTCGACGCCCTTACGTACGGCCTATCCACGATCTGCCTCGGCAGTTCCTTCGCGCATCGCACCCGTAAGATGCTCAACCCAAGCTACATCCCCACCTACAGTTCCAACGTTCGGAGACAGAAAAATGACTACGCCAAATACACAAAGAAGTTCTCACTGGGCAATGGACCACAGGATTGGGTGGCCGAGTACATGATCTCGAAGGAGAGCGGCAAGATGCTGGGCACGCTCGTCGCTCTAGCTGTGGAGAAGATGGTCAACCTGGAGTCGTTCGTCTGGGATATGCCGACTGGCGTTCTCTCCGAGATCTTCATGGCTCTGGCATCCATCCCTGAACAGAGCTCCGAGGGCGAGTCAAAGCTGGAAAAGGTTTGGGTGAGATGGCATGATAACACCGACGGATCCAGTCCGTCGCCATCGTCGAGTCCGCCTCCCCCGATCCCGCCTCTTGTCCCACCCGGCAGCCACCTCACTACAGTCGGCATCTTGATTCCTTCGGACTCTGCTCATCCGGCGCCGCGGGGCGCGATCCCGTACGCGGAAACAAATATCGAATTCCCTACCTTCAGTGTTCTGCCTCCGCTTAAGAGTCTCACTGTTCTCGACATTGACGAACTTGCTTACCTGGACGAGATGGCCGTAGCGATCGAAAGATCAAAAGACTGTCTACAAGAGCTTCGTGTCGGCATATCCCCGAGAGCCGTCTTCAAGGACTTTGTCCAAGCCTGGGATGGACCCGACTTGCAGCAAATCGATCGGGATGCCAGATGGCCCGGCGAGAGCTCCATTGGCGAGAGAAGATTAGGCGGTGTTTTGGGCGTGCTTGTCGGTCGTATCTATGACATTCGCCGCAAGTCGACGTCGAAATCGAGAGAGAAGGCCCCCATGGCATCGACGCAAGCGACACAAACCAATACCGCCCACTCTGTGATGGATACTACGGAGGCCTCGAATGTCTCAGGGCACCCCGACCAGAACGAGCCAGATGCTATGGAAGCGGATGGCTCAGTCGAGCCGCTCGTAATCCAGCCAACGGGAGCTGCCACAGATGACCGAGCAGGCCATGAGGAAAAGTCACAGTCTGTGAAAGACCAGGCGACGGGTGACGGGGACCTCGTGGATACACCTTCGGGCGTGCCGAGAAGAAGGCTGGACGGCAAGCTCAAGCTCCGTTCTCTAGAGCTTGAAAGAGTTCATTTGTCAATTCAAGTCTTCAGCCAGGCCTTCGACTGGACTGTCCTAACCACGTTGACTATCCTCGAGTGCGCCCAGCACGACACTCTTTGGAAGGCATTGCGAAAGCAATTCGCTCCCACTCCGATTGTCAGGCTTGGATCTCATCAACACCACGTCAGCTCTAAGCAAGCTATGGAGTACCATCTGAATCTCAAGAGCATTCACACAGATGTCACTTCGGTGGCTTTGATCAGCTTCCTCAGAGACACTCTGGCTCCTAACAGTCTAGAGGTCCTGTTCTTGCAGGATCGGAGACGGCCCAGTGGACCGCCAGCGGTGACCATCGATCAAATCTTTAAGGGAATCATCAAGAAACACCGGGCGAGCCTACAAAAGGTTCTTCTAGACAGTTCAGATCGGAAGCGTGGCAATGGCAACACTGCCACAGACACTGCTCGCTGGCGCAACTGGGTGCTCCCGACGGACATGTTGCTTTACATGACCAGTGGACGCATGGTGAGCCTGAGAGAATTGGCCATTTCCTTGCACTTCAAAGACTGGGTAAGTTGTCTTTCGTTCATCTTTTGTGCGCATGCCTCAAAGCCAGTGAACACGTGTGCCTCGTATCACGGGTTCATTGAGCAACAATCACAGCTCCTACGATCGTCGTGATGATGCCCTGGCTTTCCGCAGAAGCAGAATCTCTAGGGTCTCTAATGCTAATGATGATTACAGCACACATTCCTTCAGCGCTTGCCAAACACCCCTCAGCTGCGGTCTCTCAACCTGCAGCATATTGCCGATCATATACTCGGTAACTTTGACCCTCGAGAGTTGGCGTTGCAGATGGTCGATATTATCACCCTTCGCCCTGATATTCAACTCTGTTATGTGGGCATTTCTACAAAGTGCTTCGAGATCTTGGAGAGCAAGCCGGCAGAAGAGAGCGGTGCGTCAACCACGAGTGTTGCGGCTGACCATGGTGTTGTGGGCCACGAATCTGGAGTCGACGGCGAAGACGATGACGAGGAAGATGAGGTCGCTACGGATGACGACGACACGGCGAGTCAGGTGGATGAAGATACCTCTGAGGAGGAAACCGATGATACCCCGGGGAATGCAGTACATGCAGATGACTCGCAGTCGGAAGCGTCTGCAGCGCAGGACTCGGACGACGATGAATCGATGCGAGACGCTGATTACGGCACCTCACGCCCTCGTCTCCGACTCCGTGAGATCCTGTTCTACGATGACAAGGTAGCAATTTTCAAGGCTCGGCACGGCAGGCTGTAGTATAGTCTCGGAAACTGAGCTAGGGTACAAGTGATGAAGGGGGAGGGGGTGGAAGGGAGACATATGAACGGGTCAAAACTTGCATACCACGGAGGCATATGCGAACGATACAGTGAGACGGTTGAATACCAAGGCGAAGGAGGTTTTGCAAAGTACGTTATCTTGAGATTTTGGGGGCAGCCTTGTTTTCCCTCCCCCCCCTGCGGACTAGCATAGTCGTCTTTTCCTTTCCATCAATTGATATCCCCTCCCGTGCTGAATAGCAGCATATGGAGCCATTGTTAATTCCATTCTCTATCCCGGAACCCTTGTGTCATGGTTTACAGCTCACTTGTCTGTTGGATACCTCTAGGCCAGTAAAGTCAACACGGTGTATTGAATAGATGGAGCAGTTTGACACTCGTCCTCTCGTCAGTTCTATACACAGTGGCATCATGTCCAAGAGGTAGATGGCATGGTCTTCGTTCATTTATCCATCACATTCGACCCCGTCTAGTGGCTGACTCTGCAGAACTGTTCAAGACACTTTGATATCAGGAACAGATTTGCAGCAACGATCAGTAATCCCCTCGCACAAGCAACTCTGGACTCTGTCAAGAGGTAATTGCCATACAGAATCATCTTTCCTAATCTGCCTAGGTTACCTACGAACGACTACCTAGACTAGACCAGAGATGTTGTGTCTGGAACGTTACGTCCAAAGTCCCACCCCTGGTTTAATTTTCTCCCCTTTGGTCTCTTCTATGCTTGCTGTCCCACCCGCCCACCGGCGTCTATTTTTTGCTCCTGGAAGGATGGGAAGATGAGATGAGGTAACTTGAGAGGCGAGATAGGCGCACAGAAGAGGTGACAAGGAAGGGCAGGGCAGGGAAGTTGGAGGGGAGGTGTGTACGGGTGGATGAGGGCGGTAACGAAAGGGTAGTTCGGGACAAGGCGGAGTAAGGAAGTGTGATGGACGACTTGCCACCCCTTTTCTTCAGATGTAGATGGAAGGATGAAGGGCATGGAATGGGACGAGACGGGATTGGGGGGGAGGGACGCAAGCAGACCTTGCATGCGTTAGCCGTTTCGTGCCTACGGGAGAGGGAGAGGCTAGAGCTAAGGGAAGGCAAGCCACCACTACCACCACTACCATCACCATTGTCATGTCCACCAGGACGCAAGCTCGTTGAAGAGGGTAGGGTAGGGTAGGGGAGGGGGATGGATGGGCATCCGTCTTTCCGGCTTTTCGGCTTTCCGCGCCGTACCCGTACGGCGTGGTGTATTCCCGCTTTCAGGAGGAGTTAGGGGAGGGGAGGTAGGGTGATAGGTAGGGTTGGCACGTACAATCCAACGGGAAGTTGGTAACTCCATATTCCCAGGACGAAGCTTTTGGTCTACATTTTGTTGTGCTGTTGTGAAGTGATATACCGGTATTAGACGTTGTTGGAGTGGGACTACATCAAGTTGTGCATGTGTGTACGTATGTCAAGTCAACCAAGATTGCCACTAGGGCGTTTCTGTCTTGGGATCAACTTTGGGCTTTGTAATTGCTTGGGAAGAGGGGACCTCGATCGCCGCGAGTTCCTCAAGAGTCCAGTACAAGAGCTCTGGATGGTCTGATGGAGAGGGAAGGGGGTGATGGGGGGGATATCTACGGAACTTACCCTGCTGTCACCACACCCTCCCCCTCCCCTTCTCTCGTCCTAGTCCTAGCCATAGTCCTACTCTTCACCCAATGATGATGTCTTTCTGCTTGTATGCCTTAACCCGGGCCCCATGTAAGTATACAAAAGCCGTTGAGGGGAGAAAAAAGTCCTACGTCTAGGCTTAATCGAGAGACTCTCCTTGGATATGAAGGTGGGGGAGGAAACACCAGACCCTTCCTTTCCACCCCTTAGCCGCCCCCTTGTCCCTTAGTCCCGCGGGAAACCGGCGTATTTCGAAAGGGAAGGTAAAGTAGGCACCAATGTGATAGTTGAGGAGGCGAAGTGCAGAAGAGGAAGAAGAGACTGAGGCAGATCTCTTCTGTTCTGGAAGTATTCTGCGCCATCTCTCTCTCTCTCTCTCTTTCTCTCCGCCTTGTCTCCATAGCTCCGAGACTCGGGAAGATACACACATTACCTTCTACATCCTCAGCCCCTTTGGCCTCCGTGGCTTTGAGTTACGAAGTTTGTATACACGTATATATATTGTCAGTTCTGGCGGAGTTCCTGTGAGAAAATGGAGTTCTACAGCCTCCCATAGGTAATGATACAACACTCTCGACCTCCATCAAGCTTAACCAGTCCTGAACCTGCAGATAGATGGGGAAAGGAAACAGGCAAAAAGAAAGGTGGGGGTGGCCGTGGCGGTGATGGCGCTTCACGATGGTGGTGATGGACATGGGGGCTTGCGCACTGCGGCAGGAAGAAGGAAGGCGCAAGGGAAGAAGCAGGTCGAGATGAGTGTCTGCGAGTGGAATGCCTGTACGGACACAGAAAAGGGTGGGAGAGGAAGAGAGAGGGTGAAAAAACCCAAAACCAAGAACGAGGGAAAGGAGTCAAGCGGGAGGATCGTGATCCTTGCCCTTTTTCTTTCCCGCTGATGCCATGGCGGTGGGAGACCAAAGTGGGATGAGGATGTGGTATTAAAGTGTACTCGAAGAGAAGGTGATGTTGGGGGGGGGGGGCGAGGAATGAAGGTCTCTCTTGCTGTTCTTGTCTATGTCGCCCTCTGTCTCTCTCTTGTCATATCCCCTGACCATCATCTCCTTGCGAACAAGTAGATCAATCTACAGGTAGACAAGCCTCTACGGCTTCAGTAGACGGAAGGACGAAAGGACAGGAGCCTAATCCAACTGGTCAAAGTCGTCCAGCGGCAAGGCAGTACCCGCATACATAGCTGGGAGAAGTCATCTCGTTTACATGCTCAACAAGGGGAAGGTTACGATTTACCTGTTGCCAAGCCGGTAGCCCAAATATTGAACAGAGGGAAAAGGCACAGAAGGATGACCTCCCACGTCGGGGGGGGGGGGGGGGCAAATACATGGTCTCCTTGTAGGGCTGCCCTGAACAGTCGTAGACTCTGAAGACTAGGAAGGCAGAGATCTCACCGTATAGCCCTTGACATCCTGTCGCCCTACTTTGGGGACTCCGCAAAGGTAAAGTAACACCGAGAGAATGGGACTATCAAGTCTTCTTGAAGCGGACAAGGTAGTTGAGGATGTGCATCCTGGTTCCAGGACTTCCCTCTTTGGATGTAGTATTTCAAATATCAAACGAGACTGTGATATCTCTAAAATTGTAATGAAAGAGGTCCTGCTTACGATGTAGCTCAAAATGGCATTGCGTAGAACATCACAAGTAGAGACGAGACGAGACTCGTCAAGAGATCATTTCCAAACCGGGACGAGCTTCAGTCGAGACTTTGATAGCTACATGGGCCCAGAGCAAGGCCACCCCTTGCCAACGGCTCCCTCGCTTGCCTGCTTCTTCGCCGTGTGTAAATTGTTTGCAAAGCGGACTTACTGTGCTTGGCTCGTCGTTTTTCCATCCCCGTCCCCAGGATAACCTCTTACGAGTGAGCATCTAGACTGCAAAGCCGGATCTAGGTCCGTCTGGCATGAGCTGTCGTGGGGGCATTTAACATTGATCGATGAATCCTCCTCGTCGACCGGAATGGCGGCATTGTGCGCTGGCTTCGCTGTACCTTGCGCCACCCATAGCTCGACGAATCCTTCCATCTTGGTCTGTTTCCCCCCATTTCCTGTCTACACCCTCTCTCTTTCCCCGAGAAGACTCGCACTCGTTCGTCGAACTAGCGTCTGGCCCGGGCACTAATGGAGCACACCCGCTCCCCGTGAAATCACAATCGAGCCATCGAGATGCTGTCCGCCGTCGAAAATAGCAACAAGGTAATTCTGGAGCCTAGAATCTGTCATTCCCCTCAACGCCTGGACGATGTGCGGTGGTTGGTCCGTGAGGGCCATAGGATCAACCTCCCTGCGCAGGTCACCGCCTCGTTACCACCAGGACCCCCAGCCACAGTTTTGGGAGGATCGCGTGCATACCGCTCAAGCCACGCTCGGGGGCCCAGAGTGCGATCATACAGTCGAGGTTGGCCAGCTCGGAGTCGGGCTGAGGTGAGAAGGGATATCCAGGAACCACAAGGCTGACTTATTCCCCTTCGTGAGACGAGCTGATGAGACGTGGTCCACATAGAAGGCTGGCGCACATTCTTCCATGTTGTGTCCTTTGATACACATCATGCTTCCAAATCGTGACTGCCGCCAGAGGCGGGGGCCGTCCAGCTTACCTCCCCGTGACGACGACAACAAGACGCTTCTGCATTGTACGCATACTGCGAATGCAAAGCTTCAAGGTCGGATCTTTTCGCCGCTAGTCCCTCAGACGTCGCCGCTTCCAAGTTGAGACATGCCAGGTCGTCCACCACCTTCAGCCACAATGCATCAGTCCTCTAGCCCTATGAGCCGTGCGCCCCCCTTACCAATTCCCCGGACAGCCGTATGGGAAACCGTCCACGAGGTCCGGAGGACCTGAAGCGAGACCAAATGCTCCGAATCACATCGGTACATGAGCCGAGTCGGCCATAACGACGGGGTTAATCTGGAAAGTCCGACCGCGAACGCAAGAAGATGCATGGCAGTGCTGCGTTGGCCCAAATTGCCCCGTGGTGTCTGAAGACGCTGACCTGTTGTCTACGACAGCTCATTGCTGACGCTCGTAACGCTCTTGCCGAACTTATTTTCGTTGATTATGGCGATAGACACATTCGTCTGACTTGACCACCACCGTGATTCGTCAGGAGATAATGATAGAACACCGATGCCGTGGATCGATATTGTCCAAGGTTGACACTGCAATTCCAGTCTAACTTTGTTCCCACACATGGGCACTGCGTCGAGTCGCTGGCGGACGGCATCGACTATGAGTGGCCAGATGCCGCCACCACAGTTGGCCAGACACATTTTGTGCATCGAAGACGGCGCAACAAGAATATGTGCTAAGTGCGCCATTGCA